AAAAATCACTGGAAGATGATACAATATTAAATTAGAATGGCTATTATCAAAGACAAGAAGACTAAGGACTAAAAAAGCATTGACAAGAGTAAAGAAGGCTTTGCTCTTGCTTCCATATATGCTCTTAACTAGGAACTACGTAGTAATGTCCTATAAGACCTCCATAATGTATTGACTTTGCAAGACACATATCTTAACTTGTAAGGCAATTTTTTTATATGTGTGCTACATAATTAGTTTGTTCTACAAGCTATTAATATGTAGTTAACTTATTAACTAAGTTTCTGACCTATAAACATATATAAAATCAAAATAGCATCTATAAAGCTTATAAGAAGCTTCTCTAAAATATATTATAAAATAATTCTAATTTTATCTATTTTTATTTAATCATAAAGATAAATATTAGAATAAATATGTATATCCATGATAAATAGTTATTCTAATTTAATATTATATCATCCTTAATTCATTATATTACCTTTTCATATGATACAAGAATATATTGATTTTTTAGTTTTTTGAAATTTATGTCCTTGAGAAAAAACTCAAAATAAGTTATATGCCTTATAAAGATAAAACCAATATTATTATAGTTTAACTAGATGACTTGGAAAGTCTGATAATTGCATTGATAAAAAATAAATGATTTTAGAAAAAGATCCATAATTACATACAAATATGTGGATCACCAAATCAACTCACTTATATATTTAGTACAAAAAATGTACTTATTGTGCTTAAAAGTCACAAGTTTAGCAAATTAGTATAGGAGTTTTGAGATAAATAGCAAAAAATAGAGTTTCAATTGTAAAAATGGGTCTTTTGGAGAATTTTCTTTGAGAAGGAATTTTTAAAATAAATATCTTGTCTTAAGATTAGCTAACATGAATTTATGAATTTATAATAGTATTTTTATTGTCACAAAATGTATAATTGGACTAGAAGCTAAATAGAACCTTTGATCCAAGTCAATTCAAAAAAAAAAAAAAAAAAAAAAAAACAACAACAACAACAACAAAAAATGAGAGAAATAAGAAAAAAATAGTGAAAGTATGCAACTAATAAGAGAAAGTAGGGAGAGAAAAAGAAAAGTAGAAGAAAAGAGTAGGGAAGAAAAGAAAAAAAGAGAGAAAAATTAGTTGCTACATTAGAGAGGGGAAAAAAAAAAAAAAGAAAAAAAGAAAGAGAGAGAGAGAGGAGAAGGAAAATAAAAGAAGAAAAGAAAGGAGGGATGAGTGAAGAGGTTACCCCTGAACTCCAGCAGCTTCTTCGCCGATAGGGGTCCGAGCCGCCCCAAATCCTCCATCTTCTTGTTTTTTGATTTTTTTTGCGTGAGGCGTTGTAGAAGCTCCGACTGTCAAAGAATCTTTCAGTGTGTTTTTTCATACGGGTGTATGCGACGAAGGCCCGGCTCAGCTCCTGTTTTTCCTTTGTTTTGCTAAAATGTTGTAGTGCAGACCTTTGTGTTTTTTTTTGTGATCAGTGTAAAGCCCAGGGACCAGGGATTGCGCAGGGTCCCTTCTGTTGTGTTATTTGGTTTTTTTTTGGGAGATCCGACTGTAGTGTGGCCGCGGCTTGAGTTCTCTAGAGGCAATGAAGTGAATCGTGATTCCGTCGAGCTCTTCAATCCTACTGTGCTACGCGAGGCGGCGCAGTGGAGGTGGTGGTTATTCTACTTCGACGTACTAGGCAGTTGGTGTTATGACGACATCGCAAGAGTGGTTGTCTTAGTGCGGCATCGTGTGCAGTCCGAGGTCGCTTGCTCTGAACGTCAAGGAAGCTGTCTTGTGAAGTGCACATTAATTCACCATTTCACAAGGAAGTCTTGTTAGATCAGTAGTGGCCAGTAGATGCGGTTCAGCGCTGCGAAGTGGATATTTGTTCCATGTTGAGGTTCGATTAGGTGGATGAGGAGAGTAGGCCGAATCACAACTGAGATCCAGTGTTGATTGCCGCGATGGATTTATAATGTGACCTTGCATTGCAAAGACAATTGTGAATGCCATTCTCAATACGGCCAACATTATACATTTCTGTGGCAACATCTACAGTGGTCTAGTAGCCATAGTCCAAGGCTATGCGAGAGCTGACTGTCAAGGTGCTGCAGATCTCTTTGCGTGAGGGAAATCCCATAGGAATTTGCAATTATGGAGGATGTGAGAGTAGACGTGGTCATTACTTGCAAGTGGATATTATTGCGACTAATTTGTTGCGTCATGTTATCTCTCTTAGCCATGCTGAGTGTATCAAGCTGCCTGTAGTTGATTCGGCGTTGGGCTGGACTGTCAAGAGGCAATAAGATGTGAGTTCTACAGATTTTTGCCACTAAGATCGAATCGGCGGAGCAAGGCAGTCGATAAAGAATTACAAGGAGTGAAGATCTACGTCAAGCAGAACATTGAGCAAGGAGGAATTGCACCCTTATTATTTATTGAAACACATCGTTGAGCTTGCTTTCGCGCGGTTCCGGCAGAGAAAAAGAAAAAAAATGTTGCTCGAGCTGGTGATCCAGTGCAACCGCCCATTACATTTTGTTGTGCACTTCTTCTGGTGGATTACCTCGTCACGTTCTTTTGGTTACAATTGGCGTCGATACTCAATCTCATCGTAGCTTGCAAATCCCCTCCCTTGAAGCTTCAATGCTGCATTTGTGGTGCTGAATTTCGGTTGGAAACGCTTCTAGAATATCGGATGTAGAGTACTCCATGTAATTGCTTGCGTTTGCGGAGAACCTACACCTTGATCAAGCACTTTTCAGCTGCAGCTCGAGTTGTTTGATTGTTGGAAGGACCTGCAGACTACGGTGGAGGCTCGTGACTACAATTGGGCGATCAAGCAGAGATGGCGAACTGTGGAGATTGCAGTGGAATTCGTCTCATAGCACGTTGACCAGGGCGGCAGTCTCTTCTAGCTCGTTGAGGACTTGAGGACGGTGACACCGATTAAAGTAGAGTTTGGGTGGAACTAGGTTAGGTTAGAATTATGTTAAAAGCGGATTTGTTCTATTAGATGAAAATTAAGTAAAAGATTAAATATTTAAGCATGGATGGAACATATAGATGAATTTTTAAAATGGATGAAAATTTATTTTGTGGATGAGAAGTTGTTTGCAGATGATAACTTATGCTTGGATGATTTTTGAATGGATAAATATTAAATATAAAATAATAAAAATAAGATAAACAAACAAAAGAAATGAATTAAGAATTAAGAGAAGGAATTTCATTTGGCATGTATGTTGTGAGTGATTTACTATTTTAATTGTGAGTTAATGGTAGAAGTTGGACTTGAGTATTTAGATGGTTAAAGAAGAATAAAAATTGATTTGATTACAATTTAAATAATAGCTATAATTTTTAACATTCACATAGTTAATTCACAAATGGTGAACTAGAATAAACTTCCAACTAGTAGAGGTTCATTTTAGCTCACAAAATAATATAGTAAAAAGAATTCATCGACCTTACATAATTTTGTCTTGCAAAACTCCACTTTAGTTGGTGGACAATAGTTGTCAATTAAGATCTTTAAGAAACCAATTAGAACATTCATTTTTAAATGCTCACAATGTAAAAATCCACCTTGTTATCAATACAATCAAGTTATATTACAAAATTATAGTGCCATCACATGAAATGCATATACTTGCATTTAGGAAGTGATGATAACAATCAATGTGACATGAAAACATTCCTCAAATTGTTTTTAGTAAAATTAAAATGCTGCTTTATACCTTGTTCTAAGCCAAGTATAGAATTAAAAAAAACAAACAAGAATACATTTACTGCTCAAAAGTTGGTTTCACTTATTCTATACAACTGTTCAAGATCTTGGTAATAACTTGGTTTGGTGTGCTATAAGAGTTTCATCACCAATTTCATACTATTACCTTAAAGCAGAAAGATGGTGGAATTAATCGTAGTAATAATGACTAAACTTATGCAAAGAGAGAATTGCATACAAATTATATGCTTACACATCATGGAAATTTCTTTCTTATCTACTGATATAATCTTGGTCTTGTAATACGAAGAGCTTGAAATATTACCTCAAACAGCTCATTTGAGCTCTAAAAAAAACAACTCAATATAACTTTAACACTTGGAAAGCATAACACAATGACAAGTACAACACATGACACTTAGGTCGCAATTAGTTTGGCAAGCAAAAAAGCAGTTGTTAAGAATTCTTAGGATCCCAACAACTTAGTTCTTGGAGATACTTAGGATTATAACCACTTTGTATTCCTCCAATTTTTTTTCAACAACCAATCAAAATGCTTCTCTGTCTCTTTATTTTATATGCAAACTGCATTACATAACAGATATTATAAAAAATATTGTTGATATACATCAAAAGAAAGTATATACAATTACATACACAACTAAAATAAATATATTTATAAGTATAAAAACTCAACAAAAAGAAACACAAAAATTAGCTATATAATTTTAAAATTTTGGTTAGATATATAATGAATTATTATTTTATTTTTATTCTCACCATTGTTATCACTATTATACAATGGTGTTAAAAAAATGAATTAAGGCTTAGATTTCATAAATGATATATATATATATATATATATATATATATATATTATTTATGAGAATATAGTCATAAATACATTTAACATCCTAGTATGTGATTAATTATGTTTTAAACAGAAGTATTATAGATGCATCATAAATTTTAGATTGAAACAATGATGAATCAAATTAATTACATTAAGTTTCACTTACCGATGGTTTTAATATACACACCTGCATTCAATTGAAGATCCAATCCTTAATGGACAACTTTCACATTCAGCTCAGCTGCTTTCACACTGACGGCTGTGCCTCTCTGTCCCTCAACATGATGGATGGTTCCTCCAATCAATATTTCATTCGTCGGTCTGTGGTGTTGAGAAGGCTTCAGCTGTCAAGAACTTCTTGAAGCATGCTGGAAACTTCCGGAGTCTCCCAGCAAGCTCCTTCGGAACACCGTTTATGCAGTTGCTGTGAACGATTCTGTAGAGCTCCAAATTTTCTCGGGAATTCCAGACGTTTCTATCTCTATTTCTTATAACCAGTTAGTTCTCTCGCAGCATTGATCAGTTGATCAGACAGGTTGTTGTATTCCCTCAACAGTGCTATTCTGGTCCGTGAGGAAGTGGTATTTGAGAGACTTTACGATAATTGAGCTTTCTGTCACGTTTTTTGTCGGAGAGTTTGCGTGGAAGTATTGACGTGGTTGGATTTCGATTGAGTGTGTGAGGGGCTTGACGTCGCGGTCGGTTTGTTTGTGAGTAGCATTTTGACATTTAAGAAAAGATGGCTCTGTCGCTCTTTGGACGTGGAGGACATGACATTTTCGATTCCTTGACATCTGGTGTGATTAAGGATCCTTTCGAAGCCTTCTCGGTGTCAGAGAACACACCGTCTCGGCAGTATGCACGAGACACTCATGCTGTCGCGAACACGCAAGTAGATTGGCGGGAGACTCCTGAGTCGCACATTTTTAAAGCTGATCTTCCTGGACTAACTAAAGACGATGTGAAGGTTCAATTGGTGGATGGAAAGACCTTGGAAATAGCTGGACAGAGGAAGAAAGAAGATGTGCATCATGGTGACACATGGCATCGTGTTGAGCGAGCACACGGCAGTTTTTTACGGCGGTTTCGACTTCCTGAAAACACCATCGCTGACGAGGTGAAAGCCCACGTACTAGACGGTGTGCTCGTCGTCACGGTCCCTAAACTGAAGAAGCCAAAACCTCAAGTTCGCCAGATTGAAATTCTTTAAATGTCCTGTAAAAGTGCAGCCTTTAGGATTGTACCATTGTCCTATACAGGTTCTCTTTGAAGACGTGGACATCTCTGAGGGCAGACCACTCAACTTTACACTCGATAGCGTGGAGCATGTGGCAGAAAAAAAAGAAAAAAGAATAATGGCTGAAAACACCGAGACTGAAAAGAAAAAATATTCCTCCAAATCCTCAATGAAGACATTTTTCGTTCTTTTAATGTGATGCCAAACTTTGAGCGCCATGTGTGCCTTTGCCTTGCATGCAAAGCAATGTCAGTTTTTGTTAATGTCAGCGCTGTGTCTGGTTTTGACTCTTGCACGCAAAGGATGTGTGACTTGGTTTTAAGCAGTCCACTGTTTAATATAATTAATCAATTGAGTTCATTGTGCATGAAATCTCTAGTAATTCCTGAAAGACACCTACCTTCCCTGATTATATATGTATGTATGTACTGTGTTACTAGAATTTTCAAAGGTAATGCATGTTGGTCTAAGAATCACACTGGACGGTAGTGAAACGGCTCCAGAGTCACCACTCTATGAGACAGATAGCATCAAAAAAGTCCATGATTGCATCTGGTTACTGTATTTGTAGACAATTTTTTTTCCATTTACACATGTTTTCTGAGCATCTTGACAAACTTGGGCAGTTTTTTGTGGAGTAGCTTCTCCAAATTATTTCTTGTGTAGTTGGATTTGAATAGGACTTTCTGGATTTCATTAATTTGTTCATAAATTGCAATATGTAAGAGAAGTATTATAAGCTTTATATTGCAAGTTTTTATAGACAAAAAAGGCTTTAGATAAACAAACCTTGAATTGAAAAACATACTAAATAGTAGAGTTTGAAGATAAGCATAAATCACGTTTAATATTAAGGAAACATAATATTATGTGCTGAAACTAACTTATTTTCTAGATTTTTTTTGCTTTTGTTTTGTCAACCTGGTTGTTAATCAACCCAAATAATAATGGATTTAAAGCTTATCATCACCAACAAGCTTGTTGGTATCAGTTACTGAATACTCTATAAGCAAGTGTTTTCAAAGTTGACTGGCAACTATTTTATGAAGATTAGTTTGGTTGATAACATTGACATTCAGTTGTGCAAAATTGAAAAATCAGATTAGAAATAATGTCTTTACCATTTTCATATATATATATATATATATATATATAAGACATTTTGAATTGAGGATTACAAAATACAAATTGCAAATTACAAACATATCATTTCAATTTTGATATGAGGTAAAGGTGTTGTAAAGTTATATTTGAGCTGCTTTTATGTAATTCGAGTACTTAGTTGTAATTGTCAAACAATTGAGGCAGTTCAGCAGAATATATTATTTGGTGAATAATCTACAAATATATTTATTCAATGCAATGCTTCTTCAACACGGTATTGATGGAAGATAAAATTTCTCTTCTTTTTTCTTTGTTTTTCTTTCAAAGATATTCAGTGGCAAGTATTGACTTCGAAATTTATGGAAGTGAACTTTTGAAAATTACTGCTATTTGGGTTTTACAAGAATGTTGTCGTAATCCCAAGAATGCTCAACATATGGTCACAATGCACAAGGATCACAAAAACTTTTTGTATATTTTTTAATTTCTTCTAACTGTAAAATACTTAGTGCAAATAGGTCAGGTTGTGCTCTAAGAATATTCAAATGTACAAATCTTCAAATTTCTTATATGTTTATTGAAATTCAATAATGAAGTTGAACTTTTGAAAAAAGCTTCTGGATATGCACAGCCTTCAAATGTACATGTCTTTAAGTGTGCATATCGTCAAGTTCCGTATACAATTGTTGAAATGTGACAATGAAGTTTAATTTTAAAATAAATAAATAAATAAAAATCCTGCACTTGTACAAACTACTTTTAAAAGAAGATGGTATCTTATTTCAAAAACTATTGATAAAATTAGACGCGTATTGAAAGCAATGAAACTATTAGTTTTTATTGCCTTTTGTTTATAAAGCATAGAAGCTACTAGTGTTAAATATGTATAAATTTTCTTAAGTTTATAAATACATATATGCAGAGACTGGCAATCAAAAGGAGGAAATAAATATAGTGATGAAACAATTAGTAGAAAAATAGTTTTATGATTTTAACATTTGCTATACCTTTCATACATTTACAAAAGAGTTTTTCACAGATTTTTGCAGAGATTTTGTGTATAAAATTGATACATGATGATACTACATGTATATAAGAAAAAAAATACAAAATAAAAAATCTAAACTATTTTTTGTTTTGAGTATAATATAAAAAAAAGGCTTTCATGATGTGATAAATAAACGTATTTGATACAACGAAAAGATTGAATTTCTTTTTAAAAATAAGAATAAATTAAAGTATTGATTTTCAAAACCTCAATTTGAATTAAAAACAAGCAATTGAAGAGATACCAATATATTGTTTCTGAAGAAGTTCTGTAGTAATTTAAAAAATATATTCTTGATGATTCGAAATAATTAAAGAAGCAACGTATATATATATATATATATATAAAGAAATTCTATGATTATAAAAGAGTAGAAGATGAAGGACCACAACATTTAAATCTTCGATTGGCTGAACTCTATGGGATTTTGTTTCAGCGGCTTGTCTATTTCAACCCATTAAAGAATATAAAAAGTTCCTGCCTCTCACCTCCTCCCATTAGAATAGAAACACCTGCATTACATGCAAAGTGAAAAAGTGCAGTATAAAGTGTCTCGTACAAACGCATTAGAAAGTCACACTCAACATTAAAATAAAACACTCATGAAACCAAGGTGCCACTGACCACAATCCATCATCATGAATAGAGCTGAACATTAATGAACAATCAGTTACGAAATAATGGCTCAGCTGTGAGAACACTGTTGCAAACACTAGTTCTCTGCCCACCCTATTTAAACTGTACTTCCCCACATTGAATGTTAGGCTTTAATAAATGAAAATACTGAGAATTCTGTTCGTTGACATTAAAAATTCATTCCCGAAGCATTCATCCTCCTCTCCCCCAAAATGAATTATACGATATACATATGTATTATAGTGAAATTTTCCTTTTTTTGTGTCGCGGAGAAAATAGTGTGATTCGTCGCCGAGCCCTCGAAACTGCAGAATCGAGCGCGTGGATTTTGTAATCGAAAAAAATACGATTCACGGAGATTTTGTGGTGTTTCGTATGGTGATGAGAGGACGATGTTCGTTTGCTTGCTTGCTTGCGCATGCGGAGATCATCGCGGCGTGTAACGAAGTGACGACGAGATGCGGCATGCGAAGCTGCGGAGGTAAATGGTGAATGAATGACGGTATGGCGGAGTGATGAGAGGTAGGCAGCAGAGAAGCGGCATTGCTGACGCCCCCTGATTTTGATCTCCAGTGCTGCTGCCCTGCCCTCGTGATTGGAGAAACACATGCAAAGCTACTGTTGAGGAGACAGCGCGAGGAGGAAAAGGACAACAACAAAAAAAATCGAACGAATGAACGAAAACAAATTCAAAAAGCCAAATGAAAATCTGACAAAATCGAGTGGGATGTTGTTATTGTTTTGGTGCGTGCGGGGAGGGGGCGTTGTTCGTTGATCCTCCAGCCAAATTGCTTGGCCCTGGCAGAATCAACGTGGTCTCTCGTCCACTCTGGTTCCCTTTTCTGTTGCTCACCTCGGACGATGACGCTGATGGGTGCGTCTGTATCTAGCCTTCGGATGTGACGGGCGACGGGGACGCCTCGGGAAAGTGAGAGAACAAATAGGTTCCGCGTCTCAACGCCGAGAAATCGATATTGGTGCTTTGGCAGCTTCTCCTCTTGAAACCAAAGCGAGCGAGAGAGAGAGAGAGAGAGAGAGAGCGCGTGCGTGATGAAGCGGTGCGTGATTCTTGGTGGTTGTTATTAACGGCGATGGTAGTGTTGGTCGCGTGCGGTGGTTTTGGTTTCACCGAAGAGTGGTGAGGTGGTGGCGGTGCTCTTGGTTTGTTGCTTGCGAGAGAAGGCAGGGATTGTACTCGTAACGAGATTATGCGCGTCGGAGGGTTATGGTTGTTGATTAGGGGCCTGAAGACGACGGGTGTGTGTGAGGACAAGGGGGTGGAGGTTTTAGTGAGGATTCTTGGTTGCTCTGAGCTGAGTTTTGGAACCTTGGCCGAGATGGCTTGACGGTTTCTGTTGTGTGCTTTTCCCGAGGGGAATTGCAGTAGTTGCTCTTCCTCTATCAGGGCGTCGTGAATTGTTTACAGTTTCTTGGATTGTGAATAGTTTCTTGAGCTGCCACCATCGAGGTTTTGAGGCAGTTTCTGGCCAGTAGGAAGATTTTGCTCTCAGTTTGGATAAGGATTCGACGCGTGCGAGTGTCTTGAGCAGGTACTCCAGAATCGAAGACTGCCTGAAAGTAACCGTTGAGAGGGTAGGACTTTGCTGATATATTTGTGAATTGAAAGACAAACCACGTCTTGATCATTATTGCTTTCTACATTTACCGAACTTGAAGAATCACTGGGTATATTTTGATGCGCACAACAACATAAATTGCTCGTGGGAGCTATGCGTTTGTCGTCCTCTTGATTCTCCCTGAAACTGAACAATCACAGGTCTGGGAAAACTGTATATCTGCAAGCCTCTGTTCTCTGAGTAAGCCGAGCTTGAATATGAGCTCGGCGTTGTAGCAAATCCGGTGGACCAATTGACACTGCACCAAACTAGCTTCGAATTGAAGCAGAGATTAATTATGGAGAGATACAACGATCTCGAGAAGCCTCTAATTGGGAAGGAGGATCCCAGTGTTGTGGTCACCGGTTATGCAACAGCCAATATATGGACCAGAGTTACGTTCTCATGGCTGAATCCCTTGCTTAGAGAAGGCGCAAGTCGGAGGCTGGAGATTGACGATGTACCTACTCTTGCAGAACGACACAAAGCCACAAGGCTTTATGAGTTGTTCGTCTCGAATTGGCCTAAAGAGGAAGTCCCCAATTCTACTAGACGAACGTTATTTACGACGTTTTGGTGGCCCTTAATCGTAAGTGGTGTTTTGCTTTTACTGAAACTTTCGGTCACCTACGTCGGTCCCTTATTACTTCAAAGTTTCGTAGACTATACTGCCGGCGTTCAGCGATTCCCATATGAAGGTTACGTCCTCGTTCTTTTGTTGATCTTGGCCAAGTCGACGGAAGTTCTCTCCACCCACATGTACCAATTTACATGCAATAAATTGGGAATGCAAGTTAGATCATCCTTGATCAGTATGATTTACAGGAAAGGACTGCGGCTTTCGAGCGGTGCGAGACAAAGTCATGGGGTTGGCCAAATTGTGAACTACATGAGTGTAGATGCACAGCAACTCTCTGACGTTTGCCTCCAATTTCATAACATGTGGTTTGTGCCAGCCCAACTCGTTATTGCAACGGTGATCCTGTGGAAACTAGTTGGAGTACCGACAATTGCTGGACTGTCAGTTATGGCACTCACGGCGTTTTCGAATGTTTTTATTGCCCGGTTTCAGAAGTATTTCCAAACAGGAATTATGAAGGGTCGTGATTCGCGAATGAAGGTTTTCAACGAGGCCCTCAGCAATATGAAGGTTAGAAATCAACTTGTTTTTTTGTTGTTCCTACCAACTTATCCTTGCCTACATTTCACTCGGGACCTTACAGAATCACTGGAGCTTACCACCACTCGTTCTCTTTGTTTTTGTCAATTGACAGTTATTGCTCGAACTCATATTCAATTGTTCTGAAATTTTTATATTAATTTCATGTTCACCTAACTCCTTTATGCATCTCTTCTTTCAATGCAAGTGCTAAAACATTCTCCTCTGAAGAAGGTCCGATCTATTCTGTTGGTTTGCTGCAATCTTGAATGAAGTTTTCTTCTCCAGAATTTTTTAACAAGCAGATTTAAAACAAGTAACTGAGTGTGACTGCTTTGTCAATGTTCGGGGTTTTTAGCATTGAGCACAGAATAGCTTGTTCATACAGAATGAGCTACCTGTTAGTTGAATGGGAAAACTGAATTGTGCCTGATAACTGTGTCACCCACTTCTCTCTGAATTTCGCAAACTAGAAGAGGTAAGAAGAGATCATGAAAGGTTCATATGTTTTTGCTTGTGAAGGCGTTTTAGGGTGTAATAATGGCCATTTTGTGTTTAGAGATAAGCATGCTGGGGGCAGCTACCGAAGCGATCTACATACACCGACTTTCTATGGACATCAATGATATGTTCATTTGTTTTGCTTTTCTGAAGGAAAAAAGACTTGTTCTGTTTGGACAACTTTTTGTGAAACCTTAAAGTAACGGGGTCTGTATGTCTGTTTTCAGGTCATAAAGCTACAAGGTTGGGAGGGACAATTTCTCAAGAATGTAGAAAATGCAAGACAAAAGGAATACATGTGGCTATGTCGATACATGTATACTACTGTATTGGCCATCTTCATTGTATGGTTTACCCCATTAGCCGCGACCGTAGCAGTTTTCGCTGCTTGTACCTTCCTCGGAAATGGCATTGCTCCCGGTTCGGCATTCACCATTATTGCTACAATTCGCATCACACAGGAGCCATTGCGGCTCTTTCCTAACACCCTTGTCGCAATCTCACAGGCACGTTCTCACCTTACATTAGAGTGTGGGATGTAATAAGGGTTTTTTTTTCATCTGAAAACGTTAATCCTATGCTCACGGCACGAAGTACCTTAGGAATCTAGCAGAACTATAGATCACTCCTGTAGAGAGTAGTTGTGTTCTAGAGGCACGTATGTTGACATACTCATCAGTAATCTGAGTCTCTTTACTGCAATGAGGAATCGCAGGCAATTGTATCACTGGAGCGGTTGGATAAATATCTGTGGAGTACTGAGCTTGAAAAGGGGGCAATTGTGAAGCTGCCTTTTAGCGCTACAGCTCCTGCAGTTAAGGCGAACCAAGCCTCCTTCACGTGGGTTCCAGAGGCGGAGGAGGTAACCTTGACAAATATTAATCTGGAGATTCCTCGGGGAGCTCTTGTAACTGTTGTCGGCAAAGTGGGCTCCGGAAAGTCATCGCTCCTTGCCTCCTTGCTTGGAGAAATGCCGAAGCTCTCTGGAGAGGTGATTGTTTACTTGCCTAACGTCCTTATTATGGTTTTGTATTGACCATTGCGTTACGACATTTGAAAGCAGGGAAATACCTTATCAGCTGTCAATTACATTGCTATGTGAAGTACGGAATTCATTTCTTAATGTAGTTAGGTGCTTGAAGCTTACCACGCCAACTTGAGCATGGTGACGATTTTCTTTAGGTAGTAAGAGAAAACGTGGGTGTGCATCAATTTCAGTTCTTTTGTTCCACGAATCATTCTGCTTTTGAGTTGGACATAGACGAATGGCTAATACGAAATGTCGGAAAATACAGGTTGAGGTAAGGGGGACCACGGCTTATGTTGCTCAGTCAGCATGGATTCAGAATGGAACCATAGAGAGTAACATCCTATTTGGCCGTCCAATGGACCGTTCTAAGTACATGGACATACTCCATAAGTGCGCACTTGAGCAAGACTTAGCCCAGATGGAATTTGGTGACCAGACGGAGATTGGGGAGAGAGGCATTAATATGAGTGGTGGACAGAAGCAGAGAATTCAACTTGCGCGAGCGCTTTATCAAGAATGTGATGTGTATCTCCTTGATGATATATTTAGCGCAGTTGACGCTCATACAGGTTCCCACATTTTCCGGGTAAAGTTTCAATTTTCACACCTGATTGTAATTTGAAAATTACTTATTCACATTTGTTAATCCATGTTGATTGAGATTGAGATTGTGTATTTGATTGTGCTAACAATAGCAAATCTAATGCTGATTGTGATCTGCACAGAAATGTATACTGGAGGGATTAGTTGGAAAGACTGTCATCCTCGTCACTCACCAGATTGAGTTCCTTCATGCCGCGAATACTATTCTGGTGATGCGTGAGGGAAGTATAGTGCAATCAGGCCAGTTTCAAGAGCTTCTATCCACAGGTTTGGATTTTGAGTCATTGGTTGAAGCCCACAATAAGTCACTTGACGCGGTGTCGACAAGCAATGAAGGTGCTCATCCTGACGGAGACAAGATCCCCATGCCGGACAATCAATTCTTGAAATCACCGTCAAGGACCTTATCTAAATCAGTCTCTGGGAAAACGGGATCTGCTGGACCAGAGTCGCCGACGACCTTGGAAAAGGACATTTTAAGCAAAAGTAGACGAAGCTTCTCCGACCGGCAGGATTGGTTGGAACCTACGTCTTTTTCAAGATCTGTCAGCACAAATGACGGTATGAAATTCGCCCTCGAAACAACTTCGAAACTGATTGAGGAGGAGGAAAGGTCCAGTGGTCGAGTGAGCCTGGGAGTTTATCGACTTTATCTCACGGCTGCCTGGGGGGGTGCCATCGCGGTAGCGCTTCTTTTCATTCAATGTATTTGGCAAGGTCTTCTGTTAGCTGGGGATTACTGGGTAGCGTACGAAACGGGAACTAGCACGAAGCAGTTTAATCCAAACAGGTTCATATCGATTTATGCGATACTTGCTCTTGCATGCGCCTTATGCACTCTAGTTCGCGCGATCCTTGTTGCATATATGAGCCTTACAACTTCGCAAGATTTCTACCTTAGAATGCTTCGGGGTGTGTTTCGTGCTCCTATGGCTTTCTTTGACACTACACCTACGGGAAGGATCCTCAGTCGCGTACGTATTCCTCACTTTCCCTTCTACATGCATGCTAGAATTGTAATCAGCATGAAATACTACTCTCCACGTGAATCTCAACAGCAATTGTATAACAGCCTGCATGGTTTCGGCTGTTCGAAGGTCGCTTTTTCGAGATTGAATATTTGCTCGTATGAACGCAACGATTAGTTTGTATCCACCTTTATGCATTCTGCAACTCTTTTTGCTTTCATCTTACCTGGCTAAAAGGTGATTTGAGCACAGGCATCAACGGATCAGGCAACTATGGATGTGATGCTACCCCTATTCTTTGGCGCTGCTCTGGCAGTGTGCTTTGCTGGAGCTGGAATACTTGTGGTTGTCATTCAAGTCACTCCGCTTATACTCGTTCTCATCGCCCCTTTGGCCGTTTTGTACTACCGGTACCAGGTGAGAGGAATCATTTAGATACAGATTCTTTGAACTAGTATCTTCATGTAACTTCATTCCCTCTGAAAAAAACTTTATCGTGTTCAAAGGGCGTTTCTTATAGCACGTAGGACCAGCACATCAGAGAGTGCTATTGCCTGAGCAACTTTCTTAAGTGATGTGAAACTTTATCATACCCTGATTCTTTGGAATCAAGTAAAAGGTTCAATTTATGTTTGATGTTTGTTCTTTACATAGTGTTTTCCCCTCTTAAATGCTGCTCCAGGAGTGAAGACCAAATGCAGCATCAGTAATCAGGAGCCCAAGTTAGTTACAGTTAGGCGTTAAATATAGGTCCATCACACCGTTTAAAAAACAAAATGAGATTGAGTGCCTGTCATGTTGAGCAAACAAATAGATTTTACGACTAGGCACTGATGCGCGTTCTTTACCCTATGTTGCGCAGGCCTACTTTATTGCGTCATCACGAGAGTTAACCCGATTGGATGCAGTGACAAAGGCTCCCGTGATTCATCATTTTTCGGAGACTATATCAGGTTTTGTGACTATCCGATGCTTCGGACAAGAAGCACGGTTTGTGGAGACGAACGTTGACAGGGTTAACTCTAACCTGCGCATGGACTTTCATAATGCTGGCGCCAATGAGTGGATAGGTTTCCGTCTTGAGATGATAGGGGCAGTGGTCCTTTGCAGTTCCGCCTTACTCCTTGTAACCTTGTCTCCCAACTACGTCCAACCAGGTAAATCTGCCGCATTTGAAGTATGCAAAATTGTTGACTTAAGGAAAGTGAGGGTGCTGGTTACTTGTAATCCTCTTTCTATTTCACTATCATTTTGTGTGAAAGTTGGTTTTGAAGTCATGCTAGTGAAGATGTGTTGATTGGAACCTTCATGACTTCCATTGGATGTTTTGTCTGTCCGAATGGCTCCTGGATTGGTATTGTCTGTCCTGTTCTTAGTCGTAAATATCATACCAACAACAATTGTTTTTGCGTGCAGAGTTGGTGGGGCTGTCCTTATCATATGGTCTTCAGCTGAACACAACTTTATTCATCGGAGTATGGCTAGCATGTTTATTGGAGAATAAAATGGTTGCCATGGAGCGCATCTCCCATTATCTGAGTCTCCCTTGTGAAGCCCCTGAGATCGTTGAGCACAAGAGGCCGGCTAAGAATTGGCCCAACAAAGGCACCATATCCTTAGAAAATCTAAAGGTTTGTGTTTAGAAGCAACATCTTGTACGAGTGGTTTCTTAAATGCGGATTCTTGAGAGTTCCACGTGTTTTGCAACTGTCATAGTATTGTCAAGTAGTCATAATTCAATAGAAAGACTTGTGAAGGTGCTGATAAGATTCAGCATTATCTCCATCTTGCCTAACGAATATAGTTAAATGATGTACGGTATTGCAGCTGAGATATCGGCCCAACACCCCGCTCGTTTTGAAAGGCATAACTCTGATCATCGAAGGCGGCACCAAGGTTGGAGTGGTTGGCCGGACTGGAAGTGGAAAGAGTACATTGGTCCTTGCACTCTTTCGATTGGTGGAGGCATCTGGTGGGCGAATCTTGATTGACGGAGTGGATATCAGTGAAATTGGATTAAATGACTTACGAACTCGGCTATCTATTATTCCCCAGGACCCGACCCTCTTCGACGGAACTATTCGAACTAACCTTGATCCAAAAGGCCAATACTCAGATCTCGAAATTTGGGAGGTGAAGTTTCTCGAAGCATGTTTTATTTGTTGAATATTTTTCTCCAGTTTTTGATCAATTATGTTTTCCACTGCCGGACTTGGATATGGTTATTGCATTCTCTGCACGCGCTACATGATTAACATCCTTTCATGACAAGCATCGTGCAGGCCCTTCGGAAGTGCCAGCTCGCAGACATCATTGAAAATTTAGATCTTAAGCTTGAATCTCCAGGTACTTCTAGTTCGAAATAATGTCGTCTATAGAATACATCGTAGAATATATGCTCCATTCTAGGGAAGTTCATTTTGGGTTAAATTGGTCATGGTAAAAATCGGTAGTTTTTGGACGCTAGATTGTAACTGTACGAATTCCTTTTGGTAAGAATCTCACTATTCTTTACAGGATAAACGTAACCTGGTAATGTTTAAATGTCAGTGTTTTGGATTTATGGAAGCTCAGTGTTAAGCTAGCTCTAAGTCTCGCGGTCGTGTACTACTTATAATCCAAGTTTTCAATGGTTTACATAATTAAAAAAAACTGTTTATTCACAATTTCAAGCTAATTACGACATGGACTATTCCACGTGGTTCTCATTTGACTTTTTTGTTCTTTTTCATTTAAGTACTGGAGAATGGTGAGAACTGGAGCGTGGGTCAGCGACAACTCTTTTGTTTGGGGCGAGCTCTTCTGAAGAGGAGTCGTGTTCTCGTTCTAGATGAGGCAACTGCATCTGTAGACACTCGTACTGATGCCCTTATTCAACAAACAGTCCGTGAAGAATTTGACTCATGCACCGTCATCAGCATTGCCCACCGCATCCCAAGTGTCATGGATTGTGACAAGGTTGTTGTCCTTGAGAAAGGTATGGTGCATTCTGCTCTGATTTATTATTCAGATTTATTTTTTGAAAGGCGAAAAGTACCGAAAGCAATTGGTATTCAGAGCTACAATTAGAATAGGTGTTGGGGACATACAAAAGAAGTCATCTTAGGTTGCCTTATCTCGGCTAACCAACATCGTCAAGGTCCCAATGAACTATTGTTTTGCTCTCGCTTCACGATTACTAGATCATCTTTTACCTTTACGAGCAATTATATAAATTTATGAGCGCAGGTATTGTTAAGGAGTATGACAAACCATCCAAACTAATGGAGCGGCAGCCAGAGTCTTTATTTGCTTCATTAGTGCACGAATATCAAGCTCGCTCCAACAGCACAATTGATCTTAGATCACTTGAAGCTTAAAACTTGGAAGTGACACTCTTGATACTCGACGAGGTATCTTAAAGCTGGTCAAGCGGTGGGATCAGAATTGATCCAAGATCACACAAAGCGTGAGCTTCCAAGAGCATGCTCATTTTTATTTGAGAGCTCCATCTTTCAAGATTCAACTAGTATGGCAGCTCAATCAGGTTTGTGCGAAATATGAAGCAAAAGTAGGTACAAGTCTCGTTGTTCCTCTGTCAGTTCCTTTGAGTATCATATTCAAGCAGAGATGTGCCCTTTGAGAAGGAAGCAGGTCCTTCCAATATCTATATCTTCAATTACACAAGATTATCGAAAAAATGAATGGATGGCTCTTCTACTCACTACTACACCATTCAGTTATTGTTTGTATAGAAGAAAAACTAGATTTGGATTCAAATTATGATGAAAACGGTCTTAAAAATTTAATGAAGTTAATTTTGAAAATATATTCATGCAGAACCCTCGAGAAATAAGAACTTAGAACAACTGTTTGAACGGTGGATTGAGTGGTGATAGTGTATTATTGTTGTGAAAAAAGTCTGTTTTTGTAAACAGGTTGTAAAAATTGACTTTTGGAGGCTCTATAGATCAACCTTTTGAATGATTTTGCATCAACCCATGTTTACAACAACTATTTGCATGCATTTACAGACAAAGTCACCAGATTGATGATGATGAATCCAGCGACGAAATCAGTACAACACAATAAAAATATAATGGTGCATGATGAAAAACTAAGTGTAACAGTTTAATGTTTTTGGCTATCCTCGATCTTGTGTCTTATGCAGTTTTTTTTGGTGTTGCGGCCTTTAAACCCATGAATTGTAGCCATCTTTGTAATAACGTTTTTGAGTAACTTGACAGCAGGGGCCCAACTTCAGTCAGATTATGTTTGCCATCGATCTCCGCAAAAGCTTTTGAAGTGCACAGAATTGGATATGACGTTTGCAAACGCACATCTCGACTTGTTTTTGAAATGGTTTAATGGAACTTGTATGTGAAAATTTGCAATTGCTGGAAACTAAGAGAAAGCATTTCGCAACAGAGATGGAGCATCAGGTTCTAGATCTTCCACATTTCTGCTTCCTACTTAGCTATACACGTGTATCAGTTGTAATTCTAGCCATGGTTGTATTACAGAATGCAAAAATCTTACGTTTTGACTATACCTTGATTACCATCAATTGCAGGTATTCGTAAACATATCACAGAAAGGGCATCTAACTGGAAACTTGAAAAATTAGTGGAAACTACATTCGGTTCCAGTACGTTTCTAAGCTTCGAGGTGAACACCCCGATTGAAACAGTGGACTCGTATTAGCTTTGTTAATTTTCGACCAGTCTTGACCAGTATTGACCTCGAAGTGCGACGGAAAACTCTAATTCAAGTCATAACCTTGATTCATTGAATTTGAGTATTCAATACCACTTGCAGATTACAAACGTTATATCGACTATCGACTAGTTTGCGAATCTTCAATGCTGTAAATACGTGTTTCTGACCCTAGAGTCTTGGAAGTCATGGAGGGTTAGCATTTTCCTACTTTTGCTTGTGTCACTTCTTCGCTCCAAAGAGCATGTTCTTGAGCTTTATATACGCGAAGGTCTTTAGTTTGAAGGTCTTCGAGAACAGTGACGTTGTGTCTGAATCGTGTTTTTTCACCGCCAGATTAAGCACTTAAGAAATTCTTACTAATACAAAATCTGATGCTTTTTTATAGCATAGAAGTGCAGAAAGTTTTATATGAGTGAACCGACTAATACAAAATCTGATGCTTTTTTATACTCACACTGGTGTCTGTGAAGTCTTCCAATAAGAGGATAGAACTTCACTGTGTTCGACGCCTTCATGTTGCACGAATCACTTTGCATTCTCAACCTGGATATATCCGAATACGTGTGATGCTTTCGTGGAAAGGAATTTCCCAAACGGTTGAAACTCACAAAGCATCTCAGGATATAGTTCGTCAGTTGAACACATGACGATTTCTTTTAGGGACCATCTTTCCTACTAGCGCCTCGCCTAGAAAATCGTATCCATGTCTTACATAATCAAGGTACGAGATCAAGTTCCTTGTGGATTATTAGCCGAACTTCCAAGGATTAAGACTTATCTATAAACTCTTTGGCAATTATAGACAGGTACTAATGGTGGATTACTTTTTCTCCAGCGATAAGATCGATTCTATTCTACGTTCCTGTTTCCAAGAATATTTTCTTTACTCCAGCATCTTTCAATATTCATGGTGAAATAGAGTTTTGTTGTAGGATATGTTCATTTTGTATTAATTTAACCTCTGCAAATTAGAGCCATGGTTCGTACATATTGCCAACCTCAATTATAGGTGTGTCTGTTTTCCATTTCATCAGAGGCAATATCTGATAAGGGCGAATCTGTGCGGAGAAGTCTGTTGAAGGTGTTCCGATCTGATACTGACGAGTTCTATCAGAGCCTTTCACCTTTTGCTGAAAATTCCTGTCGCTAAATGCTCTTTCCTAACCAGGGCATTCTTAACTTTATTGGTTTCATTGGGTTCGAGTGCAATGGCTGGTCCGACCTTCATATGCATTCTCTTCGGTCCCAACAGCATTCTTTGATTCAGACCACGCGTCTTCACACTGCAAAGCCTGAAAAGACGTAAAAAAAACAACTGGGTTAATAGACTTGAACAATGTCATTCCTTTTCGAAGCCTGTTTCGAAGCTTCAATCATAAGCAGTAGATTACGGCATGTCCCCAGTTCCGATCTTCTTCAACGCCATCTACTGCAACATAAGTACATGACACCTGGGGATGCAACCAACTGAAAGCTTCGAAAGGGCTTTTGCCTCGTTAGTTGTGAGCATGGTGCTGAAACCAGAACGAAGATGCTCAGAAAACAATCTGCAACTGTATGAGGAATAGCGATAACGATTCAGCTCATGAATCTGTTGTTTGTGAACAAACTGGGGGCTCATTGAGGCGGTTGGAATGTGGTGATATGTGGACAACATCTACGTTTCGATTTGCCGATCTTCCTCCATGATGCCAGGTGGTAGTCTTCATGAACTTCACAGAAACGCCTACCTGCCCCTGTCCGGACTGGGTCCTTACAGTCCTCTGTGTTGCTGTACTCCACGATTTTGCTCAAATGCTCTGTGTGGCAGTGAGAATGATAAGAATGGTGTAATGCCTGCCCAGGCTTCACTCTTGGCAGCCTCACAGGCTTTGCCTTGCCAGGACATTACAATCACGAAGTTTTCTGTGTATATGTATGAAGCACAGCTTTACAAGGAGTATGAACTTGTATGTAGTAAATAGGGTTGAAGAATTCTCAACTGTGTTAAAAGTTAGAACAGATAAAAGGAGTCTGATTTTACTGACGGAAAATGGCTCTGAACGTTCCTGAGAAGAGTACCCACCATGTTAAATCTTGTTTCTTTGCTTCTTTTGTGGTTATAGAAACATTTTACTGTAATGGTAACATGAGATTGTAATAGCATGTTTGCATGTGAGTAGGTTTTTTCTTGTGTGAGAAATGTAAATTACATTTGAGTTGTTATCTTAAGCTATAAAAAAAAATTAGTTATTAAAATATGCATTAAGTTGTTAGATTGTGAATTTATAAATTCAAGAAACCTTATAGATTTTTGAAATGGAAAATAATGATTTTATTAGTCTTATATATAATTTTGCAAATAATTTGGTTCATATGATTATAATGATTTATTCTTCTATGTTTTATAGATTCATAAGTTTAGGTATCAATAATAATTATAAATAAGAATAATTTAATATTTTATTGGTTTTAAAATAAAATAAGAAATAATTAATATTTTTAAATTCTTTTAAAATGATTAATAATTTACTGACTTCTCTTAAGCTCCCAAATTGAATCACTATTTAGACATTCTTATACAAATTTTTATACATAACAAAGCAAATTATAATTGAATTTAGAAAGGTTTTCATAGTTGGTTTAAAATTTGGCTATAAACAAGTTAAAATTTATATTTACTAGATGCCAATTTTTCTTGGCTATTGATAATTATATTAAAAAAATGTGCAATACTATCTAAGAGTAAAAAAAGACAAAATTTAACAATATCTAAATTAGAAGACATTAATATAACAAAAAAAAAAAATAGAAAGATAATTCCAAATCTTGATACCTATATCCAAAGTATAATCAAGTATCTTATATAATACATAAAAATATGCAAATCAATACTATTTTTAACAAAGTTATATATATTTTTTTCATGTAGAAATAAGAAAAAAAAAGACCAAAAAGAAAGCATGTCATTACATATATGAAGCTATAAGAAGTAATGTCTTTCAAAAATATAGAATATCAAATCTAACAACATTCAAAATAACCATGATGTAAATAAGAACTACCATTCATCTTGATAATTTATTTAGTTTTGATTACATAAGAAATGATGATGCATAGACATCTAATATGATCACAATCACATTAGACTCCATAGCTAGTCAAAATATCAATAGAATTGTAATAAGTCATGCCCTGGTTTAGCCTATTAGTAGCAAATTGATACTTATATAAGATACACTCAACAAATACTATAGACTAAGAATTGATGCATTATAGTTCTATGGCATTTAGCAAAAGTTCAAAAGGCCAATATTCCAAGACCATGAGGGATAAAATCACAAAGATAAGAATTTCATATTCAAAAGAAATGATATAAAATACAAAGTATTTGCTATAAAAGAATTGATTAGTATGATGTATGATATTAAAGAAATTATAAGCAACAAAAGATCAAATAAAGGGTTACTAATAATATCATATTAAATAAATATAAATATATTAATAATAGAACTTAATTACAATAATAATAATCTATCTATAGAGATTCTATATTCATATTTAGAAAATCTATGCTAAAAAAAAAATCTAATCTAATTGTTATAAGAGATGACTTGACATATAGAAGAATTATGGGATGGCAAGGATCTAAAGACTTCAATTCTAAATGTGGTTGAGATTGAAGTTTCATATTTTAGAGCACTATCAAAACTTCCAACTTTGAAGGCTTTATAGTTACTAAGAAAAATATAGATTTATTGAATTTTATTAGCCTAATATATTGTAGTGCTTCTTATCCTCTTCTTTTATTTTGTTACCAAACCACAATCTACATGGCTAGAAGTTGCCACAATCAAAGTTAAAAAAATATTTAATAGAATTTATCTTGCATTGTAAAGAGAAAAAACCACACTATTGAAAAATAGGTTAAAGCATTGACCTACATCCACACCTTGGAGGATGTGCATTGTTGGTAGACTAAGCCAAAAAATTGCATCTTTGTAAGCTTGGACATACATACCATCCAAGTTCAATGGATAGCAATTTTGCAGTGTTGTGTTATAACAATACTATAGGATGAAATAAAAAATAAAAAGATAATATTATAAAATATATTAATTAAAAATATATTGGAAAATTACTTTAAAAAATATATATAAAAGTTAAGAAGATATTAATTTTTTTTTCAATATTAATATTATCTTTTTATAAAAAAGACTTCTACTTACTTGATAGGACTTTAAACAAGACAAAAGAATCAATAGGT